AAGCTGCCTCGAGGTAAGGTTGAACCACCAACCTCTCAGTTAGTAGTCAAGCTCTTAGCCTTGTTTGCTCCATGCCCATATGCACAGCACTCTAAAATATCCTCTCTTCCCAAGGCCTAACAGAGATCTGGATTGATTCTGGAGCACAGCATCAGGTAAGGAGTTACTGACAGACACAAAAGTACTACGTCCTAAAATAATTGACCATCTCTACACTCATTCATCCAAACTCCCTTTTCATTTTCGTAGGGTACATTTCATTTATACAAGGGGAAAATGTTGACTTTTATGAAGGAGGGTCTTTGCAAGGCCCTTCAAATCCCACATCTCCAAATGGGCCTGGCTGGAATCCAAGCTATAATTAACAAAACATATGAAACTCTTGATAACTTTCTAGATAGTAAGTGTTGGGTGTAAAACTCACTGCCATTGAGTTAATTCCAACACAGTGACCCTCACAGGACAGGGTATAAATGTCCCTTAGGGTTTCTGAGACTTTAACTATTGCAAGAGTAGACAGCCTCCTCTTTCTCTGGTGGAGTGGCTGGTGGGTTCAAACTGTGGACCTTGCGGTTAGCAGCTCAGTGACTAGGGCTCTCTGGCAGTGAGATGTGGAATAGTATTAACAGAAGCATCTGAAACAGCATTCTGGTTGTTTAAAGTCTCTGACGCTTTTGTATTGGAGGGTAAGTGTAGCCTGCTCTGCCCTCAGCAGTCTAGGGAATGCCTTTCAGAGGGAGGCCAGGAGTCAGGCAGTAACCAGGCAGGGAATGCTCAGCAGTGTGACAGCCTTCAAAATTCAAGAGGGAGAGAGGAGGTTCTCTCAACCATGAAAACAATTTGATGTTTTGAGTACTTTATTATTTAAAGTAAAATTAGTAAGCACTAATAAAACTAAAAGATGCAAGGGTGTAGAACCAATTGTCCCACAAGGTTTTCTTTTGGCTGTTTATGAACCAGTTCACCAGCTCTTTCTGCAGAGGCACCATGGAGTGGGTAACAACCACTAACTGTTATGCTGACCCCCTGCTCCCCAAGAAAGTACTCCCGTCCAGCTGCTTCTGACTCCTAGTGACTCTGTAGGCCAGGGAAGAACTGCCACCTGGGGCAAATGAATTTGGCACCTGGTCATGATTAGAGTTCATTCCAGCCAGCATTCTTGACAATGTGAATGAAGATGACAAGCAAGAGCGGGGGGTTGCTTGCACAGTATAAATTCACCTCTGTAATTATAAAAGCTATAGGTGGTGAGCCTTGGCCATCACCTTCATCCTGAAGACCTGGCCCTTTCTTTTCTAACATACTTGCTCTTCTGTCCTAGGACACCCAATGTGCCAATGTGGTTTTGTGGGGGATGAAAACCATACGGGAGAGATCCAGTTCCGCTTTCAGCCATTCTCACCTGTCCTGGAGGTACAGATGTTCATTTATGTGACATTCTTCTTGGTCTATATTGGCAGTCTCATTGGTAATGCCACAATCTTTCTCACGGTCTGGGCTGAGCGTTCACTCCACACCCCCATGTATTTCTTCCTGGCCAACCTGGCAATTCTGGAAATATTTTACTCTTCAACAGTCGCCCCTTTGGCCTTGGAAAGCATCCTGACCATGGGGAGAATACCTATTTCTTTCACTGGCTGTGGCACCCAGATGTTCTTCTTTGTCTTCCTGGGCTGTGCTGACTGCATCCTCTTGGGGATCATGGCTTATGATCGGCTCGTAGCCATCCGGGATCCCTTGTCTTACACTCTCATCATGAGATGGCAGCTGTGTGCCCAGCTGGTAGGGGGAGCCCTGGTGATGGGTTTCATTCTAGCCTTATTACTAACCAATTTCATTTTCCACCTGCCATTTTGTGGCTACAACACAATCACTCACTTCTACTGTGATGTGCTTCCTATCTTGCGCTTGGCATGCGGAGATATGCAAATGCCAGAAGCCATGATCTTCATCACCAGTGTCATCATCCTCACCATCCCCTTTTCCTTGATCTCTATCTCCTACGTCTTCATTGTGTCCACCATCCTGAGGATGCGCTCAGCAGAGGGAAGGCACAAGGCCTTCTCTACTTGCTCTTCCCATCTGACTGTGGTTCTCCTCCAATATGGCTGTTGCAGCCTCATCTATTTACGCCCCAGTTCTAGCTACAATCCAGAAATGGGACGTGCGGTTTCGGTTGTCTACACCTTCATTACGCCCCTCTTGAACCCTTTGATCTACAGTATGAGAAACAAGGAGCTGAAAGATGCACTCAACAAAGTAATTAAAAGATATACACTGATCTAGGAAATGGTGGTTGTGGTAGTTAGGTTTATTGTGCCAACCTGGCCAATAGAGATATGTGGGATGAATCAGGTCACAGCTTGATTGGAGGGCAAAGAGATAAATGGATCTGCAAGCCCCATCCCCCTCTCTCTTGCTCTCTGGTGATTGGAGTGTGTTGCAGTGAGCTGCTGCTTTAGCTAGTTCTCTGCCTCAACCTCTGAGCTAACTAGCTATGGACCAGGCCAACCCATGGATCATGTTACTAGAGCTGGAGGCTCCTTTGAGACCCACTTCCCCACGCTGCTAGTACACACATCACTTCAGCTTGAGGCTCATCAATCCTGTCACCTTGCATTGCTTGCATTTGATATCCCATCCAGGCCTGCTTTACTAAGCTCCCGAGCTACTGACTGTTGGTGACCCACTCTGCTGTTTGCTACCTGTGGGCAGACTGTGCTTGGCTTGCCCAAGGGAGGACTCAGCTATCTGCTTCCTTGACCTTGGACCTGGCAGCCCACAGGACTTGAAGGACTTCCAGGACTTATATTAACTGTTCCCCGGAAGTGAGCTGAACTGAACCCTATGTACTGCTGTGTGGACTAATTAGCTGTTATATTCCTTCTCACTGTATGAACCTATCCTCTTATATATCTATATGTTACGTGCCCTGGTTTCCTTTCTCTAGAGAACCCTGCCTAAGACAGTGGGATTTCTGGACTTGTGGAAATGGTAGAAAATAATTCTTTTTTTTTTTTTTTTTTGAAATAATTCTTTAGAACATGACAAACTCAGGGATTATATGACCTAAACATTTGGGGAACTGGAGTTTCTACTTTACCA